AAAGGGCCAAATCTAGCATCTTTAAAAAGTCCAGTAAGCATAGTTTAAGATCCCGACACCAAAACCGCGAGTGTGGTGCATCTCTAAACGCGCGAGAACGTACTAGCGAAAAGAAAGTTGGTATAGGCGAGAATCTCTAACCCAAGTACTGTCCAAATCAATAGACTTCCACAAGTAAAACACACGTGTGTAGATTTGGGGGAGGGTTAAAAGTAGCATCTTTAAAAAGTTAAGTAAGCATTGGTTGGGATCCCGGCGCCTAAAACGCGAGTGTGGCGCATCTCTAAACGCGCGAGAACTTACGAGAGAAAAGAAAGTTGATATGGGCGAGAATCTGTCACCCCTTGAGGGGACACAATGACTTCTACTGTAAGTGTCTCTTCCCGGTGTGGTTTTTTTTTTTTTTTTTTAAATTCTATGAGAATAGGGCTGTATTCCTCTAAGGCTGTGGGTGTAATTCGTAAAAATACTGAGTTGTTACAAATCGTTTAGAAATTCTTCGCTCCAGTCCAAATTTATGTTGCTAGCACATGGGTGGGCACTTTATATGTAGACCGTGATGTAAGATACCTTAAACTATTTTTACTGTTCATGATGCACTGCTACTTTAGTCTGCTTTATAAATATTTAACTGCTCTGGTCGAGTTTTTAATTTCAATATAATTAAACGTTCTTTTTATGCGTTCCTGTTAAAAATGATCCAAAGTTGCCAATTTTAGTAATTTCAATTTGAAGAAGAGGTCCTGTTAGTACCTTCTTGTTAATTGACGAAAATTTTGCGGTGTTTGTTTTACCAAGGCGCTTCATGACGCCTCCTGGAATAAGCTATACCTTCCCTAGTTGAATCGTCATCAGTTTATCGTACGTTAGTATGTAAGGAATGCTAGGAAAATTTCCCACCATTTCTCTGCGGTACTTACAGTAGAAGCCCCGTGCGTCCCGTCATGTTTCAAGTGTGACCCATTTTTTCAAGTGTGACACATTGTTAGAAGTGTGACACATTTCTAAAAGTGTGACACATTGTTAGAAGTGTGACACATTTCTAGAAATGTGACCCATTTTTCCAAGTATGACCCATTTTTTCAAGTGTGACCCATTTTTTCAAGTGTGACACATTGTTAGAAGTGTGACACATTTTTAGAAATGTGACTCTTTCTTTCAAGTCTGACCCATTTTTCCAAATGTAGCTCTGTTTTCCAAGTTTTACCAGTTTTTCCAAGTGTGACGCTTTTTTCCAAGTGTGACCTATTTTTCGAAATATGATTCATTTTTTCAAGTGTGACCCATTTTTTTCTGTTTGGCAATTTTGCTCAAGCGCGTCTCACAAAAAGCCGCGTATCACATATCCTGCGAACGTAGACGTATTTCCGGCTGTCGCTTGTCTCCGCTAGAAAATCTCTCGAACTTCGATCGCTTGAAATTCTGTATTTCATCCGCATCCAGGATCTTTCTTTGTAACGGTCTTCAAACGATTCCGAAGAGGGTAACAACCATAACTGTCTTTCTTTCTCGAAGATTGGAACCATGATGACCACGATGGATCCACGAACCCGCCATTTGTATCAGACAGTTAAAAAATATAAACTTCTGCGATGTCAGTCTTGAGAAACGGAAAGGAATCACTTTCGATGAACTTGGGTGGTTTATGAAACCATTCGCTCGACACGGCGAATCAAATTTGGCTCGGATCGAGCGACGGTCGATATCTCTCACCCCCTGAGAGGTATCAATTCTAAAACATCGCATTATCTCTTTTCTTTTCTTTTTTTTTTTTTGTCGGCTCAATACTCTAAAAGTTACCGCAAAAGCTCTTGCTGTGGACCTTTTGAGGCTGAACACCCTAAGAAGTAACAAAACCGTGTTTTTAACCGGCTTAAAGGATACGGCGAGCGTCCCAGTCCTTCCTTTCCTTTCATGAAAGTACCACAATCACATGGTGCAGCCTCTTGAGTCGCAGTTGTTTCTTTCCCCAAGAGGATGGGATTTTTTAGAAAGAAAAAATGGGTGTGGGTAAATGGTATCAGAGACGGTAGTATTCACAGGTTAACTGCAATCCTAGTCACTTCTTCGTAGAAAAAGAAATAAAACGCGAAGAGTATCTCTTTTTCTTTATCAATCCGTTAAGTGAAAACTAAACTAGTACGGTTTGTACGACATGTACGAGCCCCGAGTACAGTACAACCTCCACTAACGCCCACCTCTCCACAACGGCCTCTTTTTTTGTCCCCTCGGACGGTCTATAAAATTCACTCTTATTTTAACCTCTCTACANCCCCCCCCCACCCCCTCAAAGTTTGGTGTGGACGCAGAACCGAGAGAACAGATCGATGTGTAAACGCATCAGTTTTAAACCAGTATCGTTCACAAAAAACAAAATTGTTTCAACTATTTTTATTTTTTTACTCTTTCAACTTACTTTGGACATGTCAAGTAAATCAATGACTGAGGATCTATATACAACGGGAAATTTCTCAAGTATTAACAGTTAAGTTGTCCGCCATTATTGATAGATTCATTCAATCTAGTGTTCATTGCAAACAAGGTGTAACTCAAGTAACAGACTCCCGATCATAATTCCCTGAGAAATAGCACAAGGGTCCTTTAGCTTGTACCCCACGGGGTTGTTGAAAAGGAGGGATTGCAACCGGTAACTAATTTATGTTACTAAATTAAGAAGTCTAGAATTTAAAAGCTTTTAAGCTGCATCTTTTAAAAGCCTTAAAAAGGAAACTGTCTAGCGTTTCGTTGACGGATGCAGACAAAAACACACATATTCATTAAATTATGCCGGGTGGACTTATTCCCCTTATTATAAAAAAAACCTGATATAAATATAATGATAAATTCCTGTGACAAGAGAAGATAAGGAATGCATCTTTGGTCTGTAAGAGACTTTTCCTCTTTCTCTTGTGACTACTCCATTCTATTACTCCGCTGTAACCATGAATAGACCAATTTCGACATATTAAAATTCAGCCTAACACAATAGACCTCAGCACGAGGCTCTGGGGAATAATCCCCACAAACTCTGTAGTTATTCCCCTGAGCCTCGTACTGAGGTCTATTGTTTTAGGCTGAATTTTAATGTATCGAAATTGGTCTATTAGGGCTAGACCTCGACTCTGCGCAAGGCTACTAAAAAGTAAGTTAAGAATTAGCAAGTCTACTTTGCAGCGATTATCATCTAGTAACTGCGACTCTCTTTTGCTATCTTCTTCTAGTAAACCGCATTCCTCTTGACGTATTATATATATTACAAATCTATAAAACTCTAAAAGTTACTCAAATTAGTAAAGGTCCACATGAACTCCTGATCTTGGCTCGTTCTCATGTTCTACTTGCTTGGTGAAGGGTTAAACGTTTCTTTAAAATGATAACGAGCGGGTTGGCCGATTTTTGCGGGATTCTTGGTAAAGCGCGAGACAAACGCGGTAGAAGAGACCTTTGACTCTTCTGCCACGCGTAGCTCCCATTCTCCTCGCGCGGACCACTAATCATTGGGGTCCGCAATATGTACACAAAAAATGGCGGTAAAAGATAACTTACGGTGAATTTCTTCGTCTTGTGTAGGTTCTACAAAAACTTGAAACAGGTAGTGCTAAAAATATTACAAAATGTGAACTCTGGCGGTCTTCAGTACACGAGGATGAAATATAGTTCTGTAATGTTTCTAGAATGAAAGTTTGGCGCCGTTATTCTACTTCAAGGTAGGGTGGATATTTTCTGCAGTAAAATGCTAGTCTTTGAGGATTCTCCCTCAAGCTTTCATCGTGAGTAATTCTGTAAACCTGATCGCGCGAGAAACATAGCCAGAGTTGGCTTAATCTCCTCGCTTCACGCGCGAACACGCGCTACAAAAGACTGGAGTAACGTAAAGTTACTTCTCAACCTTAGTTGATCCCTGATAAATGTCTGTACTTCGATGAGAAGCCACGGCCAGATAAACACTCTCACCCATGTTGAAAAACACCATATCTCGTGTTCTTTCCGACGGAATGTCTTGAACTTTAGCGAACTTTTTCGAATAATCTCGATCCCACGCGAAGATGCCTGGACTCCGGTCACTGCTCACTATCGCCAGGTATGTTTTCTCACGTGACATGAATGGGGACGTAATAGTGATCCAATCACGAGCCTGTGGAAGTAAATACTCACGTGAGCCATAATTAAAATATGATAGCCAGCAGTGAATGCTTTGTTTTGACATTTCTTTTTATTCTTTTCTTACTATTTGGTGTTCAGTACCCCTTTGGAGTAGCAAAATGTTTTATTTCTCAAAGAATGTTTGACAAATATTTTTTGCTGACTTCACTATTATCAAAAGAGTCGCAGTTAGAGTTAATGAAAAGTTTGCCCTATTTGTGTTCGTGATTACCGCGCAAAGTAAGTTCCTTTACCCTTACAAAATTGCTCAAAGATCAAATTTCATTTCACCTTTCAAGCTTGAAATATAAATTACCAGAACATACTTCCAATATAGTTCCGAGAATTTGGTGCCATATCAAGACAATATTCGTTACTCGACGAATTTCTTTATTCTCATCACCTGTCATGTACACATTGTGGGGAGAAGTTTTATGTTAATCACAGCATATCTTACCCTTCTCGATGGCACTTCTTGGAATAGCTTGAATTGTGTTCCATTCCACCGGAAGATTAGGGAGCTCTCTGCCTTCCAGCGGGCCACAGCCAAGAAATGGACGCCGTCAACAGACAGGGCCTTAACTCCATAGGCGCGCTCTCCAGTGGGCAACCGATGAAACTCTTCAAACCTCGCCCCGGACCACTTGTAGATTAATGCGTATGCACCGCGAGAGAAGGGACCTGGGTGAAAGGAGGTCGACGAAAGTGAAATCGCATAAAATCACACACATTGGAATCTTGAACTTTCCATAATAAGATTGGATAAGATTGTCCATAATTCAGCCATGGTTCATCATAATAAAAAAATTTAAAATTGTTTTTCCCAATATGCCCGTACTTACCTGATCGTAACGTTACCTCAATAATTTGTTTCAAGAAAATCTGGTGCACAAATGGTGTTTTCATGCAGAAGCAATATTTCCTTAGTATCAGGGTTTTTGCAACAGGGGTGGGCAAGACAACGATTTACGTCTAAACTGTTCTTTCTTTCTTTTTTTTTTTCGGTAGCCAGTAAAAGTCTCCAAAAGAAAATGATAACGTCTAGCTCATGGCCAAATCATCTTAAATTTTCTATCTAAAATGCTCCTGTTTGACTAGCAAGAATATTCCAGTGTCGTAGCTGAGAAAAATACGATCAACACTAAAAACAGAAGCATTGATAAAATTGCACTGCGGTAAAGTCGGTAGAATATCAAGAACGATTCCAGAGGGTCTTTGGTAATCAAATGGTTGACTTTATTAGTTACCTCCGTATAAAGTACAGAACGATTCATACCTGTTATTGCCAGATATGTTGAGCCATTCATTTTAAAGTGCTCTACATCAGCTCCCACAGCTGCGATGTCCTGGAACTTTACAAATCTCTCGCCGTCCCATTTATAGATGTGTGAGCTACGCCCATAATAAATTGCCACGGCCAAGTAAGTGTCTTCGCCGATTTTAAACGGCTCAATATCAAATGCTTTGACTGTTGGTAAAGTTTGAAACGGAACAAACATATCCCCATTCCACTTAAAGATTGGCGAGTCATGCGAGCGAGAATTACTAGCCACGGCAAAAAACACGTCTTCTCCAATGACGAAATGTTGCCACTTGCGAGCGAAGGGTACCTTGAGGATTTGGAAACTACGGAACCTTGAGAGAGAAAGACAGAGAAACAGGTTCAACAAGAAAAAAATGTCAAGTCCCCTAAGAAAAGTAATCCTAGTGCAGTGCAGTGTGTTTCCTGGTAAGCAATCACTACATTCTTTCATCTGGTTTTATCAGTCACAGAAAGAAGGGAGAATTTGAAGTCCTGGAAGTTGTGGGGAGGGGGAAGAGTCCAAGGGGTATGGGGCAGAGCCAAAGCAGGGCAGAGCCAAAAATGACCAAAAGCAGCAGCGATTCCACGGGGTTTTTTTTACGACTGTCCAGTGATAAAGCGAATCTTAAGTGATCACTTGTCGGGAAACCCTTAAACGCAAACGCGACAACGATGAAATACAACAACAGTGTAAGTGCACCGTGTTTGAAGTTTCCAAACGTTTCTCAGGTACAAAATAACATTTCAAATTACAGAACTGACAAAGTGAAACAGTCTGTAAATGTGTTTGTTTCTTCTCGTTATATGGCATTGCCAGATGTTGATTTTACAATGTGTCCACCGAAAAACGCACGAGCGTATAAGTGACATCCTAGTTTTTATTGAGACGATGCACTTTTCAAATTTATGTAGCTGTCGTTTTGCGTTTTCCTAAAATTACCGCACTGGTATTGTGTACTAAGGGCAGGCTAAATAGCAAGCTTCGAGGCCATCCGCTAGTTAACTTAAGATGTACTCCTCGGCTGCTGTTTAGTTAAATGTCGTGTTTCAAATAAATCCTTTCACTACCAAACTCAAAATGCAAATTCTCCTCACTAGTCTCCAAACATTTTTTCAACTTAGTTGTGAGAATTCGGTTGTACTTCAACACCTATCTAGTTTGATCCTGTTCTCCGAGGAAAGCAAATGCGCGGCTGAAAGGATTCGACTTCACAGTGATCAAGGTTTAATTTTTTTTCCAAACATCAATAGAAACGCAATTCTTAGAGTCATGAAAATGAATACACCGATCACTGAAGTAGCAGTCAAATGATGTATGGAGACCAGTAAGGGGATCCGTCCCGGGGGGGGGACTCCCATATAAAAAGGACGGGGGGTGCTGGTACCTCTTAGGATGTTCAAGCTCAAAAGGTTCACAGCAGGAGCTTTACGGTGCCTTTTAGGGTATTGAGCCGAAAAAATATCACAGAAGATAATGCCTTGTTTTAGAATTGGTACCTCTTAGGGGCTAAAAACATTTCAAGGCACGCCCACACAACAGGATCCTGGTACCTCTTGGGATTCTTTTCAAAATTTTCGACGACCCTCCCCCCGTCCTTTTTGTGAGGGAGTTTCCCCCTCCCCCCGATCACTGCGTGAAGAGGTAAAGTGCATTTCAAATAACTAAGGAAGGGAAATCAAAGACAGCTGAGATAGAAATAGGCAAAATCAACAGGCAAACAAATGAACCAATAAGTGAATAAAGAAAGATTGAAGAAATAAGTAACTATAACTGAATAACTGACAGTGTGACGGAACAACTGCAAAACGAAATTTTCCTAAGAGGCGCGTCGAAACCCGCGCGGACACAAAACTTCTGCGATACGAGGATCTGTTAAATTTGGAGCCATTTTTCTGTAAACACTTAGCATTTTGCACGGACTTAAGTTGTCAGTAAGGCATTCGAGGTAATGAGACGTGTTATTTATCTACACTGTTAAATTCAGTAACAGATATAAAACAAATAACCACGTTAACAAAAGAAAAACAGCAACAACAAAGCGAAAATTGGTTATTAAATCGAACAACACGACGAACGATTACGTTAATATTTCGTTTAGCAATTAATCTCTGAACTTGTAACAGTGCAAATGGAGTGAGCTCATGTGAAAAAGAGAGGTTAATATTACAGTGTGTGAAAATTATAATTATTATTCATGAGGATTATTATGTGAAAGATTCACTCACGGGTTGTAACTGGAATCTTGTTCCAACGAATGGACACTAAATATGAAAAGACACCGAGATACGTAATTCACACACAGAGAAATGGAAGCTAAAAATGCACAAAAACGACAACGTATGTTCTTTTCATACAGTAACAAAAACAGTAAAATTTCGATATGGAAAATCTATTTAGTAAGAGTGGTTTTCATAACTATGCTAGCTGCGAAGTGAGAACGTCTACCAACGTTTGGCTTTTTAAACTGCTGTCAATCATAACGACGACAGCAGAAATCTGCAAAATGATTGGACAAGGACCGGTTTGTCCGAGAGACAACGATGTCACTCGGTCATGTTTAGTTGCCTTAGTAGCCACGATCGACAGCACTTTACACCCAATTGTTGGTCGACGTTTGAACTTACTAGTTCGCGTAGTTTTGAAAACGCTGTAAGGTAAAAAAAAAAGCTGAAAACGACAGAACTGTTTTAGACAGCCATGCTTACCTGTATTCGTTATCCCATTTGTAAATAACGAAGCTCTTCCCTCCCAACTGAGATACGCCCAGAAACAGCTGCTCGCCAATGTAAAACGTGCCCAGGTCCCACGCATCCATGTATAGCGTTTGAATCATGTATTTCTTCATGAACTGGGTCTGGTTAGGGTATACTAAAAAACAACAAATTCGCATAAAGTCAGCAACACAATGATTAAAAGCAGAGCACTTTGATGTGTGTATGGAATGAGGCTTTAACCCGCCCCAGCTCCCGTCTTACTTACCTCCTGTAGGAGGCTGAACAGTAGTTGGTGCTGCAAAAAGAGAAAAAACATTTTACGACAAGCATTTTTTTCACAACTAAGCTGTATTGCTTTTTTTACGACGCATGATACAGTGGAATCCCTATTTTTCGAGCGAGTTTTTGTTCCTTTTGCAATAATATTAGAAAACATTTACCCTCGATTTTTTCTAATCCATTTCCGTTCCCTTAAGTGGCTCGAAGAAACGGGATTAAACCATATCAGCTATAAAAAGACAAAGTCAAGCCGATCCAAAAGTAATGCTATACGTCACCTCTATTTTGTGTAAACCGCGCCTCCCCCGAAAGACGAAAGCAAACAAACAAACATACAACTGCTAGAGTAATCCGTATGAAACGAGAAAAATAGGATCCACCCATGCTTTTGTGGTTTTGAATCGCCTTATCTATCTTAACGCAAATTTAAGTTCTCGAATGAATTCGATTTTCTAAAGTTGAGTTCTAGTAGTGTTAACTGGAGTGTGAAGCAATTATTTGCTCCTAGAAACTTCAGCAGTAAGCCCAAATTAACCGCAACAAGCCTTTTTTGTTCCGGCTCTGTCCTTGAAGAAGGTCAACAATACAACTTTTTCAAGCAAAATTATCAGTTCGCAAGACTTAAGTGTGTTAATTTAGGTTTTCAAAACGTCCTGAGCAAATAGGTTATGGGTTATCAAGGTTGATGTATTTTTTTCAAAATTATGGGGAATAGAATTTTTTATATTCCAAAAAGAATTTCTAACCATGAAAGTACCACGAAAGAAGCCGTTAGTCATACTTTTCTCGAAGATTTGTCTCAAAAAACAGAAAAATCTGCATCATAACATAATCTCTATTTATGGCGATTACACGAAAAACGTCCTTACTTGATGACAAAGTGGGCGTCGGCACTTGATGACCTGGAAAAAGGAACAGGAAGAAGCATTTAAAATGGACAAAATTTGCTTCATCACGACGAGTTGTCAGCGTGAATCCGGATCGATACGAAAATTGATGTCGCATCACTAACCATGCAAAACAAACAAAGCACTTGGATACTGAGTACTGATGTCAGAAAATAGCAACAAGATACACTATTATGGTGAATATTTGTTTATTGACAACGTAAAAATATACCTTCGCATTTCGCCACGGCACTGCAAACTTCTGCTCCTGAAAACGGTAGACAACACAAAATGCTCAAGATCAAACAATGGATTAACTTCAATGCAAAAACAAAAGAAACTAAAAGATGAAATGAGTTTTAATCAACGAGACAATTAGCATCTCCAAGGAAACAAAGGGACTAACGCTTTTAAACAGAACGGTTATATTGAGACTTTGTTGGACTTAACGAAGGAAAAATTATTGAGTATGCGTCATTGAGCCTTTTATGTGCGTCAGAGTATTTTAAGAACCTTATTTCACGTATTTACGTCAAGCGTCCTGGGTGGTGCAAACATTTAAAGAACAAGTCTTATGACGGGCTTGTTTCGCGTAAAATAACTTCAACATTATTTTTATCACCAGAACGAATGCGTAATATTACAAGCTTAAACGAAACCGCATCGTCACCATTAGTAGAGTAGAGAGGAATAGCAGGACACGTGCAGTACTCGTGTGCAAGTGTTATAAAACGTACCAAATTTAACGCATATCAGCTGCTTTCCATCTGAAGTGAGGTACTCTCCTGGTTCACATTTTGGAAGGGAAAGTGCCGAACCAGGCTCCCCCTGAAACAAAAGAATCCAATCAAAAACCGCCCAGCTATTCTCGATTGAAATAAACCCTCAGGCACATTATCCATCAGTTTCGGTCAGGTTCGAAAAAAATCGAACACAACTCACCCTCGGTCCTTCTGGGCCGACAGGGCCTGTCTCTCCACGTGGTCCGGGTAAACCCTAAAGTGGAACAGATCCGAATAGATCAGCTATCTTTAACTAGATGAGCACACATCAACCTTGGTCAAACTTCATTGCCACCAAGTGGTCAGCAACAAATTTTATTTGCGTGATGCATGCGTTGAACAGTTTAAAGGAGCACTGTCATCTGTTTTTGCAAGCTTTACAATTATAAACGCCAAAAGCAGATCTTGATTAGATCGAAACCAGTAATGATGTGCTCTATCTATAGAGCAGAACTAAATAAACGACTGGAAAGCATTGGGAAAGAAGCATGAGTAATGATGGCGAGGATGGAAGTGGATAAAGAAACTAAAAAACGTGACAAAATAGATCCTGGGACGGGCTTTGCAAATAGCTTGAAAGATTGGCACAAAAAAACTTACTGCAGCCATAAATTCCTGAAAAAAACGCTCTTTCTTGTTATTATAGCCTTATGAACTACAACGTGACAGTGCTCCTTTAATTTTGCTCATACGTTTTATGCCAGTGTTATGGTGCTGTGAAATGTGACGTAATGCTGTCGCTATGAAATCGTGCAATAGGTGCTGGTGATGGGAGATGAGAGGTGGCTAAGAGTGTTTTACAGTTTGAGGTAGTTACTTGCAACTTTAAGGTGTTAGCTTTTATCAAGATTACCCGAATAACTTGTTAAAGAGGTCAGCAAAGCGATTAAGCCTTCAGTACAAATCACTATGGTTACGGGTTAGTGGTCAATGTGTGTTCTTTAAATTCGTCACGGAATCTTTCCTTCATCTCGTCACAAATCCCTCTTTCATAATTTAGCGAGGACTGCGTGACGAATTAAGAGAACGTCCTTGTTTAGATTAGCATCTGTAACATGAATATGGTTTAGTACCTGAGGCCCGATAGGTCCCTGAAGTCCCTGACGATGAAAAGCAAACAGATGTATGAGGAGAATGCGTGAACAAGGCGACAACCCCACCATACAGTTGTTACAAGTCAAGATATCACGAGTCAATTCTGTTGGAGATGGACAAGCCATTAAAGTAGATAACCTTCACCTTGGGTTGGATATGTGGTTAGTAAGCGGCTGATCACGATGGACGTATGTACGAGACGTCATTCATGAACGTAAATATTGCAGATTTCTACGTTAAAAGTTAGTTCGAATAGAACTTGGATTTGCCCAGTTAACATACAATCTTGTTCTCGGGCTCTGCCGGCAATTCGAATCCAAAATGGCGGCTTTTACAAACCACCATCTTAGATACAAACGCCGAGAGGATCCTAGAAGGGAGTTGGGAAAATATGAAACAAATGCCCAGCACAAACCACAGGAAAACCAACGATTTAACCTCCTGTTGACCTCACCTGTTTTCCTCTGGGTCCTCGGGTTCCTTTCGCAGCATTCTAAAGTGTAAACAGAGGAAATCAACAAAAAGAAAACGCATTTGACTTACACACTTTTAACTTTTGTTTCTCACCGCTTTAATCTCAGTCGCTGATTGCCACACAGGACATGTCTTTAAACGAAAGCCCTGAAAATTTGATGCTCAACGATGCAATATTTCCTGTATGTTTTTTTTCATTGTCATAATAATAAAAACCTTTCTGATTGAAAGTGTACTGATATTGAAGTAGAAATTAAACGCGACAGTCTTGCGGGTTTCATATTCGTACAAAGAAAATGCCGATGGCTTAATTTGTACCTTACAGGCAACAAAGATTATGCATATAAGTCCGAAACACAAAAACAATTTTCATAAAACTGGAATTGTTAATCCATTTTGGTCAAATGACTCATGAACGCAACAGAAGTGGCACCACACCTTAAAATTCCAAGTTATTTGACCGCAGAAGAAACATAATGAAAGCAATATTCGAGAAACCTAATTAGCAAATTTCTAATGGCAACATCGCTTCGCGAAAGTCACTGGGTTCGAATATAGCCGCATTAATTGTTTTCGACCTAACGTTTGCTATTTATAGTTTAAGTACAATAACAGAATAGTGCGCTTGATTCTATAATCGAAGGTAACCGAGAAACGGTGTATTGCCTTGCCAGCTTGGAAAAATAAACAACTTGTATATTGAATTAGCATCTCTACTGAAACCACTCACGCCCGTCTTCGTTAAATGGTTCAGCGAGGAAGTTTTGACAGATCCTTTTTAAGCGCGAGATAAATTATCCATTGTTCAAATTTCCTTGTTTTGATTGCTAATAACGTCACGAGGTAGGCGCGAGCTTCACTTTATAACAAGACGGGAACACACAATACCACTGCGGCCTCAGGGTAAATTTCACACTCACAGGGGGTATAACTTTAGGTATTTCTCGAAAAGAGCGCGAGATTAACAGATCGAATGCCTTATGACAGTTACACGTCTTCAACAAGTGTTCCGTGATTAATAAAACGCGCGCGCGAGGGTTTAACATTTTTATGGCGTTTCTCGGCGCTATCTTTCACTTTTTTCGACCTTGATCATGTTTTCAATTAGGACATGACTCACATTTCTAGAAAAACCGCGACCTCTTTCTGGGAAGCGTTCCAACTCCATCAGAAAGTGACATGCTTTTGTATTTTAACTGAACGAAAGTTTTCTTTCTCCATTTTGATGACTTTATCGCACGAAAAGCGCACACAGCGCTGGTCAAAGTATCTTAGCGGGCGCCCAATCTGATTTCCCTTTACGTGTCCTTTGCCGGATCAGAACTTTGACATTTTCTTATCAGTGTCCTCTGCCTGACAATAGGCTGGCTTGACAGTGTTTAATTTTGTGATCTCTACAACCCTGTAATTTGCATTCCATTGCATTCCAGCGAAGCGAACCCATTAAAAATCGTCTAGAGAAATACACCATATGTCAATAGACGGGCGATACGCAACTAGTTGAAAGGACATAAATTTTGACGGGCTAAGTACCTGGCACGGAAGAAATCTCACGAAAGCAAACGGCATGATTTTTTACTGTTTCTTCCAAAACCTCTTCCTTAAGCTAACAAGCGAATGAACGCAACAGAGCAGAAATCCTTTGGGAAGGTTGTTAAGCAATTAAAACATCGAAGAACTGTAGTGTCCTTTCGTTGCGCAAGGTTATGGGTACATGTACCTTGGTGGAAAATAGTTTGACAAGAAAACACTTGTTTTGAACTATATTGTGAAGTTCTTTTAAATCAACAAGCTTAAACCAAGTCCCACACCAAGGAAAGACCACTCTTTCCCGTACCTATTAAAAAGTTTAATTTACCATTCTACACTCAACAAAGGCAGTGAAACTTGGTCTAATTAAAATAAAATCATTGCGTTGTAAAATCAACGCCATCAAAGATGAAGGAACAAGTACGTTTGTACTCACCCGCAATGCCCTGCTGAGTTTCCCTTCGATTTCAGTTGAAATATACGTTCTGCAAGCTTTAGAACACTGTCTTTTCGTAACAACGGTTGGAGCCAACGAAATTGTCAAAACAAACATAAACGGCAAAAAAACCATCATAAGATGAGCCATGGCTAGGTTCCTTCTGTGAATATTCAGGAGACAGAAACGTACTGTACTGTGACTAAACCACGATCGGTGTCGTTTGTATATACTAAACGGTTTGCAAGGCGAGCCTGCTTCTTATAAATGATCAGAGATTAAATCATCGCACCGATTTATCATCAGCCCCAAGTCACGCGTTCACACTCCCAAACCGCATTCATTGAATCAAATGCAAATCAAGTCGATTGAATCGCAGTGGGGCTTCACTCTCACCAATGAATGACAAGCATTTACCGACGGGACGCACCCCAAGCTTCAATACGAAGTTTCCCTTTCAATTTCCGGTCGTTTTTTCAAAACAACTGAAAATATTACTTTCCGCGATCCAAAACTTTTCACAGGCGGAAATCGATATCAAAATAAGCCATTCAAACGCAAGCCGAGCCTCGCGCACCGGAAGTGTTAACAAGATGGCGAATGTATATATCTGAAGAGTCGGTTGAGCCCCAAAAATTCCTTGCCCCCCTTGGCTGCCCGGCACATGGGCCACTGAAAGAGCGGTGGATTAATAATATTGCAGGCACATTGTAACATCTTGAAAACCGCTATGTTAAATATGTCACGCGACGTTTTTTTACAGCTGATCTTGAGTAAGAAGGTTTACCGCCTAATAGGCTCAAAATCGTGCCATTGATTTAACGTGATATGCTCTCAATGGCTAAGCTATCGAATTCCTTTTGTACAACTATGATAAATCAGTCATCCGGTGGTTAGAATTGTCGTCCCTCGGATAACAAGGTGCATACAGATGGTCGGTATGATCGCGAACGAATGCTAACAACACCTTGTCAATTTGCGCAATATCAAATATTTTTCGCAGGCTTTTCATAACATAGTAATTTGTGATTTTAAGTGTTTCCCCAGGCAGGGGTGTAGGGTGGTCCTTCTTATCACATGCGGCATCTGTAGGCTCAAATACCCATCGCTTACGCACAAAAAATGCGAGATAAGGAAACTGTCTGCAGACAACAGTCACAATAGAGCTCATTTCAGCACTGTGCACCCTCTTGAGTGAAAAACAAAAGCGTAATTCACGGCTCACTAGACTAAGCACTAATCAATGCTCAAAATGTTTAATAGCAGCACGACGGCTTTCTGAACAAAGTTGGCTAGGATGATCAGTTCTTGGTCTTGTAGTATAGTTCTAGAGCTGGCTATACACCAAAGAGTTGATGCCTGTGTCCTGGAGAAAATAGGGAGGGAGGGAAATCAAATCAGGAGGGAAAACGAAAGGTGACTTTGAAGACGCCACGTATTTAAGCAGACCTTGAGGAAGTTGGTTATGGAAACTATCGCGGCTAGTTATTATCAGTACTTAAGACAATCGCCAGGGGAGGAAGTCTAAGAACTCTGACCACGATGTTTAAGTTTTGATAACCGATTTCCCTTCCCTTGCGTGCACTATTAACACGAATGCAAAGCCTTCCATATCCGCACAAGATAATAAGCTCCATCATTAATCACGCAATTTGAATTGAACGTCTGTTTGATTAATTTTATTATCAATTAATATTTACATTCAGTAATAATTCAGTAGAGAATGAGATGTTACTCTGGGCTATGAAAGCTCAGATTGCATTCTTCACAAACTTGATGTTGTGATGGGGTATAAATAGGGAGCTAAAAACGCTACAAAGATGATGAAGTCGACACACCAACTTGACTAAGGCTTCCACGAGACTGAGGAGGCCAAAATTCGTTACATAACATGGCATGAAATGGTCTACTCTTTATAAAACAGCACCCGTGCATGAAAGACTGGCTCTCGTGCACGATTGCTTATTACATAACAAACCAATCCATGCAATACAATGATTTGTCAAGGACTAGCTGGTCGTGTTTTAATATTCCAGGCTCGGATTAATATATTTGGTCATTGAATGAAGAGCTTTAGATAGCGACCACTTAACTGAATCCCCAGGATGAATCGTCTATACAACTCGTACTAAAATCCCCCCGGGGGATATAAATTCCTAGCATATTTGTTCCCAGCGGCACGTATTTTGTGGGTCGTGTTCCAAATCTCAGGGCAAATCGAAACAAAAGCAGAGCTTCGTGTGTGGAAAGAGAACATAAAGTAGATGTTTACTGGTGACTTAGAATATGTCTAATTTTAAATCGCATATCCGCCTTTGGACATTTGGCTGGTTGGCTATATTTGTCCTCTTTGTCTTAAAACACACGTAGCTGTGCAACATTTCAGGAAGTTGAAGAAGTTTTTCAAGTACGGACAAATTATTGACTTGGCACATTATAAATTAAAATGAGATAATCTAATTTAAAAAAGAATGCTAGGAACTGAGAAAGGATAGAGAGATGCGTCAATTTTTGACAAATATTTAATTTCCTGCTCGGTTTCGCTTCTCTCTGGAAGATTGCAAATGGCAAATAAGAGCGATTTCTCGCTGCCTCGTCATCAACATTGTGTTCCAACATGGGGAAATTTTCCTCTCGGAGATGAAGTGAACACTTTCCATTTAATCGGATCGATTGTTATTTTGAGATAATAGTTTGTAAACTTAGAATCGTAAAGTACCATTACAAACAGTTTCAGTGCCTCTATGATCAGCAAGCTTTGCATGGAAGAAAATCACACCCGAGTGGAGCTGGACATGAGGCTTCAAAGAAGTTACTCAAAAGTAACAGTTTCTCCCATGCCTAAAATGCAGCCTTATGTGGTAGACGCTACCCCCTCCCACCTCATGTGTGCAGACCCGTCTCGTGCACAACCCTCCTGCACTCCTACAAAGTGACACCCCCTCTACCTTGAGCCAGACAGTGTTTTCAGACACTTACTTTCTTCGACTCGACACCAAAAATTATCATTGTGAAGTGCGTGCCACGAATATTGTATCTTTTTACTACAACTTTGTGTGGCAAGTATCGTGTACATAATATTTACGAGTGTGGAGCACGAACGTCTGAATTCGAATTATTTTCGTGCCCAGAGCACCTGAAACTGGTTCTGTAGGTCGGGAGTCTCTGGGGAAAGAGAATACCCCTCTGGCAAACATAAAGCAATACCTAAGCATTGAACTGCGCACAAAAGAAAAAGAAAAGTAGAAAATAGATGTAACTGAGAATGTTAATCAGCAGCCCATGATAGAGCCAACTGACCCTTAACGCCGATTAAACTGTTGTTGTACGCTCTCTTTTGTTTTAGAATATTGTTTTTCCGGCCCAGACTGAATATCCTTATTTTTGTGCCAATTTTCGGCTGAAAATATTCTTGTGAATATTCTAAGATTGGATAAAGGAATACAGAGTGGACTATGCCAATAAAACGTCAGATTGTTTGTGCTATCGTGACATTGACGGCGTTGAAGTAATTTTGGAGCAAACCTGCAGGCAATAATCTTGATATGAGCCATATGACACGCACAACATCTTTCAGAAATCATTACCGTCGAACATACGGCTAGTGTTGAGTTTGTTGCTTTTTGGCTACTGAGTTTTACCGTTTAGAGAAAGGAAAAATTTAGTTAAAAACATAATTGTATTATATTTACAAATTTTCAACTCAAAACATGATATTCTTTTCAAAATCCCAGCCTTGGGTTTATTAAAATATTCTTAGAACTTGTAAATTTCAGCCTCGACATTGTCATAAACAAGAGCGTAGTGAAAATGCCACATAGTACATTTTAAAAATTAAACTGAAAGAACATACAACCACTGGCGCGTTGGTGCTATTTACTTTCCGACTGTTTAAGCCTTACAAGTGAATATATGAAAGATCATATGTTTGAACTGCGGAGAAAGATATGATTAAAGACATGACTGATCATCGCAGTTATGCACACAACTTAAGCAGTTGTGAAATTAAAGCCTGAAAAAAAAAAAATCAGGCTTGAACGGGATTCGAACCCATGACCTCTGCGATACCGGTGCAGTGCTCTACCAACTGAGCTATCAAACCAACTGGGAGCTGGTCACATTGTGAGTTCGCAATATACCCGCAGATGGTGAAGAAGAAAGATCATATACTTGAAGTGGGGAGTGAAAGATTGAAAGATTTGTATTAGCATTATTAACAAAGACATGTTGTTTTAGCACGTGGTTTGTTTGTATGAACAGTTCCGACACATTTCATATCCTGACCGGGTTTCCTAAAACTGGATTAAGCTTATCTAGGATTAGCATCAACTTACACTTCAAGTTTACACGTTATCATCAACCATTTCTGTATTTTTCAGTACCTTTGTAAGTATATATATATGTTTTTCGCTAATTTAATTTGCTCCTCAGTTTCCGGACCCGAACCGTTAAAAAACGTGTCTGCGTTTTGCCATATTTAATTTCAGTGAAAATTTTTAGAACATTTTCGAAATAGGATTTAAAAAATTATGGAGTGATCCTACAAAAACTGCTCTCGGAGAAAAAACATTTGGAAATAAATGATTCGCAGACATGTTCTCGTTGTTTATATGTCAAACTAGCTTCAGTACAATATTTCATTTCAGTGAAAAGTTTCAGAAGATTTTCGAATTAAGATTAAAAAATATGGAGTTAAACCGCTTTTGGGGAAATATATTTCGAAAAAAAATTCGAGACAACTTTGTTGTTCATTTGTCAAACTAGCTATTGTCCAAATTTGAGGGCAAATGAACAAATTCGCTTTGACTTGTAGCTTTCAAAAGGTGATTCGGACAGTCACATTTAGAGGTCGTGAAAACTTCAACAATTCCTTTTATTGCAAAACTCTTGGTATAGTGTGATAGCCAGCCCTATAAGCTTTAATTTGATATGGGGCTATAGGTTTTCACAGTTTAAACCGGACGCGCTACATCGCTTGGACGCAAGACACCTCAAAGTTATACGGTCACCTTACTCTACCTTTCAATAACATGCGGACTCTAAAATTCAAAGCTCAAGGCCGACAAATGCGTTTTTCGCTACCGTCAATCCAATTTTCGGCGGCTCCTCCCAGCTTCCGACTACTGCCGAGCGCGTGGTAATCAAATCGTTGAGCACAGTTCAGACAACGAAACAGTGCTCAGCAGTAGTGGGAAGCTGGGAGCAGCCGCCGAACATTTTATTGACGGTAGCGAAAAACGCATTTGTCGGTTGAGTGAGAGCTTTGAATTTTAGAGTCCGCATGTTATTTAAAGGCGCAGTAATGTAAAATTTCATAGAACTGTACAATATCATGTGGTTTTAAAGCCGCTGCATTTGAATGGTCGGTGTATCTCCATTTTCATGGAATATTGTGTTGTGAATACAATATTTGAAGAAGCATAAAGTAGGAAATGTTTGTGGGAGTTTTCAAAAAAGTTATTTTGGTTTTTTTGGGGGGCTGTGTTGTTCGCTATTTGGAGATACCGAATATGTTCTTGGGAGAGTCCATTAAGTGACGTTTTCAGCAAAATGAAATATGTAAACGATAAACTGAACAACATGCAATAATTATGATGTTTCAAACAGTCCTTCAATTGCTGTTCGTTCGAGCCGTGAGAACCATGGAGGGCCGGTTTGTGAGGAGTAGAGATATCCCTTGAAGGCCGGTAACAATACAAAGAGAATATTCAAACACTATAAGAAAGGCGAAACCACAACGACAAGTGAGTGAATACGAGTGGAAATGGTAATACCCACATGTCCCATGCATAAAGCGGAAGAAAACTTGCGAATTTTTTTTCCATTGTGTGACTCCAAGCCAATCTTTTAAGTGAAGAGGATAATCACAGAAATGCAGTAAAACAGAGCAGGAAAATTCACATAACAGCTCGTATCTCCACAGCAATTTTTTTGGTAAGAAAGAGGTACATTGAATAAACGAACACAACGCAACAATCGGCAATAGGCAATTTTAAAAGTACAGAGAATGTCAGCACATTTTTTTTTTCCTCAGCTGGGAACGAATGCTTTTAGATCGTGGAACAATCTCAAATATTAAAAGCCGCAAATATTTTAAGTCATACAGTTCATAAGGATGAGACGAAAATAATTTAATCCGTGCATTGTAAACTATAAAACGGCGTATGTAAAGGAAGTTAAGTCTATATAAGAGAGAGTTTACCGTGATGAAACAAACGTTTGACAAGTGACAGGATCAAAGATATAGGTGTTACTGCAACTTAATGAAGCTAATTTGCCTCTTTAATAAATGATAGCAAAGATTTAATCTCCGCCAAAGAGAATTCTCAAGATGTCTGGCCGTGTCGAGTGACCCAGTGCCTTGGGGAATCTTAGAATTACTTAAACAAACGGTTTACTACACACGCAAGTATTTTGATATCAAAATGTTTATTTTAGGTTTACTATACATAATAAAATATGTACAATCTCATCTCTAACTTACACGATTTTGTACATGTTATGGACACCAGTATTTTGTCCAACTACAAGAGAATAGATCCAATAATTCGATCGATCAGCATAAGAGAGCTAACAATGATTCGCGTTTTGTCATTTTACAAAATACTAGATTAGCGATCACTTAGAACTTTCCAAAATAAAATCGTAGGAAAAGTAGAATAATCGCCTGGGCTGTTTGCAAACCACGTTAAAAAATAGCCTTTGTCAGACTAAGCAAGTGCCAGCGGGCAAGTGAAAACATTTCGAAGTCATGAGATGATTAGATCCGTCATTTTCATAACGTATACCTATTTGAATTCGTTATGAGAAGGTAAACGAGAGAAATTAAGATTACATCACTACTAGGAATTCTATAGATCGCGCCAGTCAATGTGACATTTAACTAAATTTTGTTACCTAGGCTAGCCAATTGATTTGTCACTAGAGTAAACCCCATTTCCCTGGTAATCTTAAGGCTTCTACTGACCTAGTAGCTTGCTCGAGCCGTACTAGGGAATATCGGCTCTTGGTACGGACCTCGCTGCGCTCGGTCCCTATTGCCATGACTTCGGGCCAATATTCCACAGTACGGCCCTCGCGCTCGGTGAGTAATAGGTTATTGTTAGGAAACGTTCTTGACAAAAGGTTCAAATTATCAACATCTTTACCGAGTCCGCGCACGTAACTTTGCTTCGCAGTTCCCATGGTCGCCCCCATGGCCTAACAGAAGAGAGGCCCTGGGAACAAAGTTGGTGAAAACCAGCTTAAGTGTCGTCCTGCCGCATGACGTCAAGCATGATGAACTCATGGTTGTTACTGGCTGCTCTTTATGACAAGCCTGAATTAGAATCCTTTGTTGATAAGGTATTTAACCAACGCAATCTTCAAAATGTTTTTAAGTATTCGAGAAGTGGCTTAATTTCTCTCGGAGTTTATATCTTAAAGTAATATATTAATGGTATTCGTTTGTAGATTGCAAAACACACTTTGTATCGAGTCCAGCTGTAGCAAAACAAATAACAGCAAGTTACCGTGCTTGGCCACAAATAAGCTATAATACTATTAATTACACTGATGGAGAAAAAAACAACAATACTGATATAGAGTTTTGGTTTTTCCTAATTATTTATGGCGTCAAGATCAAACTTAAGTCTGATGCTTACGTGAACCGTCACGTATCCTTGGCAACAGAATGGAGAAAGAATCTGTTTCTAAACAATAACAAGAAAAAAAACTACGATTGCCTTGTCGTCTCGTTATAATGTATTAAGCATATGGCGGACCTATGCAGTCAACCAAATGGTACTAGAACTGTAGTTTCATGAGATGCCTTGTCCGAGGCGCGACGCACCTTTTAGTTGCCTGAAAAACAATTGAACAAACGACAGAAATAATGAACCAAGCCCTTAACACAAAAGAAGTGCGTTAAACGGGGAGCGAATGAAATTACTGGTTCCGAAGAGGTGCGTGGCTTCTGCCTCGTCCACTTGTCTCTTGTTTTGTAAAGAAGAGAGGGACAAAATTATTTGAAAACGTAACAGTATTTACACCATACCTATCGTTACTCAAATTCTTTATAGAGTGTTCAATTGATGTCACAACGTTTTTTAAAACATCAAACCCCCACAATGCAAGGATAGAGACTTGCTGCTATTATCTAGAAATTATTTCAAATTACTAGCATCTCTGGACGACTGGAAGACACGAAGTTCAAAAACTGGTGTTGTTTCATACAAATGTATCGTAAAGTGAAGGGACGGAGACAAAACAAAAGACGTTTATACGGAGAAATTAAAACTTAAAATGCCAATATTTTAGGTGCTTAATACAATATAGAGAGTTGACTTTTGGCAAATGAACATTACTGTATTTCGGAGCAACAGATGGACTCTCATAATTTTCCAAATGTCATGCCTCAAAAAACTCAATATTGATCTTATCAAATAAGAGTTGAAGTGCCCAGACGCGCACGTCTTGTCACAGTCCAAGGTTAATAGTTCCACTGATTGACTTGATTAATGAATGTGCTTCTATCGAGACCCTATTGTGACGACAAGAGTTGTAAGTGTTACATGAGTGCTTGTCGTACATAAACTTGCTTTGTTGTCAACTAAAACGCGCTTTCACAGCCAGTTGACGTCTGCAGCATTGTTCCTTCTTTCGTGCGATGAGAGAATCGCGTACAAGTATGGCTAGTCTTCAGACAATTCTGGCCAACTAGGCCGTATCTTAAGCAAAAATCTAGCACAGAGCATTTGATGTCCAGTCTATGAATGTAACATATTCAGTAAGTTAGGCTTCAAACTATATGTGCTTAATGTGCTCAATATGCACAGAGCCTCAATTTTCCAGAACGAACTTGGTTTCGTCGCGATAAATGGTTGATGACTGACGTCATGGTTTAATTTAGTCTACATTGAGTTCAGTAAAACGAAAGGATCGGCTGTAAACGTCTACATTGTAAGACAGCGAAGGGAAGCCGGTAGCAAGAGAGCTATTGAGTTAAATACCGTAGGAGGGAGGGTGACTTAGCTTCAAGACCGTGAATTCAGTTCAACGAAAAGGGTAGTTTATCTTTGTAAAGCTCTTTACAGGGAGACAAGAGCGAACAAAAACAGCTTATGAGAAAATGTCCAAGAGACTCAGTTTGAAAATGAACAAAAATAAACTAAGCAAATGGCATGTCTTTCATAAGAAAAGATCCCTCAATAATGTCTCTTATCGGGGAAGTTAGAAGATATTTTTAGGTCATTTTGCAATGACGTTTATCGTGATCATAGTTTGTACTTCTTCGTAACAATGCTGAAACAGACGATAATTTTGCCCTTACCGTTCAGGTCACTACAAAGTAAGTTATTTTACTTGCCCGCTGGTTCACAAACATGTTCAACTAGCTTTTTTCTCGTCTCCAAAAAAAATCAGTTCCGTATTTTGCAAGTTCTTTTATAAACGTACGAATATGTGACAGATAGTAGTCCCGAGCTCAAATGATCAATTCTCCTAACTGAACGTCATAACGTTTGTTTACTGTTAGGTTTGAGAATGAGGTAGTTCGGCCAGCAATTGTTCTTTAGATTACGATTTTCTCCATTCACTTCTTCCTTCTGTTTAATAATTTACTGAACAAGATAACAATGAGAAATTAGATTTAAAAGGAGTTAGATCCCAGTTTTAAGGTATTCTGTCATGTACCGACTGCTCTCAGAAAGGTAATATAAAATGTTAAGATGATGGCTTGAAATGAATCAAAACACAACAGAAATAAAAGGAAGCTTAACAAGACTGAAACGACCTTAAAATGACCCTAAACGTCTGCTGAGCCCACATTGATTATTCAAGTTTGTACAGTTTTCACATATTCTGATTACTAGCCGTAAATAGGAGAAAGTATATTTTCATCTGAAGCTAATAAATAAAGAAGACAAAAAAGATTGACCTAACCACTATAAACACTCTGGGAACAAAAGAAGTAATCGTGAAAATATATGTTTTAATACTAGTATATAATTCGTTCAGTTTGTTCAATGGGCCGCATGAGGCATACTGAGAGCTGTAGACTTGCTAAACAGGCCTGACAATACACGACTCACGTGATCATATGTAGTAAACTGTTGAATTCAGAGAACCATTGGACTTATGTTTGCTGGTATCACGTGACCTCTGTAGTCTGTTGAGAAACTGGGCTTCCTGCTCAAGGAATTCCTCGTCCTAAGAAAATGACAAGAATTTGACAAATTTGACTTGGTTGCTATCTTCTGGAAAAGCAATGAAATTAAAATATTCTTCACATTAATCCTTAAATGATGATCTAACGAAGACAATAATATAGGAAGTGACCATTAATGGATCGTTTTCGAATTCTCGGTAATGGACTGGAACTAGCTTGCAACTGAGGCTAACGCGGGGAGTCTTTTCAACTGCAAATGACGTTGATCTCTTTTTAATGATATTCCCCCGCATGAGCCTCCATTGCAAGCTAGTTCCAGTCCATTACCGAGAATACGAATACGGCCCCTTACGTTATACAACAGACCGTTGTATAATGTTGGGGACGTTCTCAATGCTAGATACTTCGGTCCACAGTGAATTCTACAATGCAAAGTTTCAGGGCTTCATCCTTGTCCGCCTGGAAACAAGGAGCATGTAAGGCGAACACTCGTAAATGACCCAAATCGTTTCCGATCCTTACTGCCCAATCAGAAGCACTACAAGCCATTACGTCAGCTTGTCGTCATCATGACACGCTAAGTTGCCTAGCAACATCCATATCGACAACCTCTGCGCCCAAAATCTCATCACTTTAATATGTCTATATTTACTGTGATTCTTAGTTACTAAATAGTCATAAATTACACTCATTGGGAATTCCCTAGAAAGCCTGAGAGAGTTTCGTAAATATTTTGTTACTTCACCCTGATTACCTTTTCTTTGTCATGGGACCATTTCCGAAGTATTCTTTTCAACTCAAGACTGTTTACCAACAAATCAGGAGTCCCAGGAGCTGACATTGGCAGGGAGGGGTGGGTAAGGATTGACGTGTCCACTGCGGGTGAATCTGTGAAGGCAATAAAATATTCAGATTCTTCGTAGTAGCGGGTTGTAACGTCTAACTGACTGGTGGGTACACAGAGTGGAACGAACCGTCCTTTGTGACACATAAAATCCAACAAGGAAGTGTTAAAGTAGTTACAACTGAACTTGTACTTGTAGAGATACTGACGATCACTTCAGTGAGCATTGAAAAGGTAACCAGCCTCTCTCTCATTTATCAGTGTTGCAACGCAAGCTTCTAAACTGACAACATTAAACTAGAGGAAACGAGAGAGAGCGCGCAGGGGGGNAGGGGCGGGTGGTGATACCTTTAGTCATATTATAAGTCGATCGTTTGACTCCAGCGTTCCTGTTCTAGACTGCAGTTCGGGCAGCTTTTGGCGTTTTCAGAAATGTCAATGAAATACTAATAATGTAATGGTTAATATCAATTACATCGTGACCAAACATGAGTTTTAGGAACTATACCATCGATCGCGATACAAATTGAGCAACCGTCGACTTGACAGAAATCGTAAAATTTATGCAATGCGTTTCTATTTGGTCCAGTTTTGATCATTCAAACTTGTTTTTGTCTCATTCAAAGTATTACCATCAGTAAGTTTCAAGATCTGTTCGTACGAGCCAGAATTGTCTAGAGTGACCTTACGCCTTTAATTAGTGTTTGACACAGGAATACAAACTGTCCAATTTGGAAATAATTAATTGGATGAAAAAAATTCCGACTACTGACAAAATTGGACGAGGCCGCAAGTCGAGTCCAATTTGGCAGTCACAGGGACCTTTTGAATTCGATTATTTCCGAATTGGACTAGGATGTAATCATATTACCTGTTACTTATATTACGTACGAAACTGTAAATTATGTGTTAATTTGGTCACATTTAAATAAAGATTCAATCTGGACAGTGTTCAAAATTTTAAAACAAATCATCGTGCGAGCACTTCCGTAGAGGATTTGAGCACGAGCGACTATATTAATATAATTAGAAGCTGAAACCCGAATTTGGATGCCTGTCAGTCTTCCACGTTCAAAGCAGCGCACGGGAAGTACAGGATTTCCTAAGAGAACATCAACCTGATGTAATCACCAACCACTTGACACAACGAACGTCTAAAATTAGAAATCGGAAATCGGAAAGTCTCTTTTACCATTCACGATGCACAGGACAACGCTGGCGACAATCCCAGCTACACCGCAATCGGAAAACACTGACGACGGAATGACGGAAAATTTACTGACATATTCAATCGCCAAGATAAAAGAAAAGGCACGACTGCATGCTAGCTAAGTAGGTTTTAATAAATAGAAAATCAGTCCAGAGACATATTCAGGGTGCAAGCCTTAATAACCAAGCCTTCACAGGAGCTGTGTGCGGGAAAAGTTCAAGAATAATAATTTAAAGAAGAAATAGAATGCACCAACAATGTACTATACTCTTTGATAATTTCCCGACACAACTCTAAACTACACTCTTGTTTCTATAAGAATATTGTTTTTCCGGCCGAGGCTGAATATTTTATTTTTCTGCCGATCTTAGGCTGAAATATTCTGGTGAATATTGTTAGACTATACCGTATGACATTTCTGTTTTCGAATGTATTTGGTGTCTGGATGGTGTTAAAGTAATTTTGGAGCGAGCTTGCAGGTATTATAGTCTGACATGACGCAGAAATGTTAATAGCATCGAACATACTGCTAGTGCTGTTTTTTGTTGCTTTTTGGCAAGTTTTGTCGTTTAGAGAATGGGAGAATTTTATACGGTTTAGTTAAAACTTATAATTGCATTGCATTTACAAATTTTCAACACACAAAATTATATTCTTTTCAAAATCTCAGCCTCGGGTTTATGCTTCTAATATTCTTAAAATTTCGCAAATGTCAGCCTCGATATACTTATAAAAGATATTCTTATAAAAAAAAAGAGTGTAGCCCAAATCCCAAAACGGACGTGAAAATTATCGACAAGATTCCGCATTATTATGGAAGAAGATTACTTCGAGTTACCAGCCGTCTAATGTTTTGTCTGCTCAGTTACCCATACCCTCCATTTATACTTTAAGCCCTTCAGTGTCACCCTGTCGGATCACTATCAAAATAATCCTGCGCCCGTACCTCTCCGCCCGGGCTTCACTTTGCAATTTTGCCTTCCAAATAATGCGAGATGGATTACCGCGTGCGCTAACACTGAACCAGTATCAAACAAGGGAATATTTTAAGGTTTCGTGACAACTTCGGAGCTAGTATTTTGAGGTTTCGTGACAACCGCGATTTCACAAAAGTTCCAACGGGACGACGTTGAAAGTGAACCTCAAAGATTGCGCGACGATGGAACAGAATGTGGAGGCTTTTCTTGTAATAAGATTACAATCTAGGACCAGAGCAAACTCTGAACTCAGTCTCTTGCAGCTAGCTGGTGAAGTAGACTTTTACCTGAAGTATGTATTTCTTCTGCTGGATTTGTTCGCCGTCCATCACACTGCCAGCACCGCCCTGTCTGCTTGTCCTTCTCCAGCAAACGTCGCTCATGCGCGATAGCAAGACGATCCTAGCAACATGAAAGGAGTATTTTAAAATGAACAATGCGACCAGTGCCGTGGAAAAGACGGAAAAGATTGAAATGTTGACAATCTTTCTTCTTATTCTCAAGAATTACACAAATGTAAGCTCTGAAAATAAAGGCCAAGTATCCCTAAGTTGATGCCTTCAGTTCTTTATTCGTGTCAGCAACAGTAACTATATTAGATCAAGAGAAGATTAACGGTGAGAGAGTTAATCCTCCAGATAGGTCTTACTTCCAAAGTAATCCCTCTCAAGTTACTTTTAGGTATACTACCCAGTTCGTGCGCGAATAATGTTCCCACGCCCGTTACGTAAATGCTGTCGCGCGAGAATGAAAATGCGTGTAAAGCCTCTTGGGCTGTTCACATGAGCAAAATTCGCGTCAAGGTATGGCTATTGCTAAACTCTACTATGATTTCCGAAAGCGGCAGTGATCTAAAAATAACGTGAAATAAGGCCAATATGGAAATTAATTCTCTTACTCTTCATCTCCTCTTGATTATATTTTACTCACTCTTAGCACCCTTAGGTTAACCTACTTCCTTGTTCATAAAATCAAGATAAAAATACCTGGGCCAGCTGTCGCTCTTTCTCTTGCGCGACAAGGAACATTCCTTCAGCTTCAGCTCGCTGAGCCTCAGCGTTCACTCGCACCCGTTCGGCTAGTTCCAGGGCTTGCTCGCCCTCGTCACGCACCCGACCAGCATCCTGAGAACAGAGCAGATGAGTCAATGATCAGCATCATGTCCCAGAAACATATCCAAGGTGTTCGACAAAGGATAAGAGGAAAACGCCATCCTCGGTGCAAACGCTGTCTCAGAGATTCGATTTTAAAAGCACGCCCAGCTCGTTTTGTGGAAGAGCCGGCCAAGGTGACATATCCCGTCTCCGAGAGTTATCTGACCTTCCCCCCCTTTTTTTTTTCTAAGATGTTTTTAGACAGCATGACGTAGCCTTCACACAATCTGGTGTGACAACATCTGTTGTACTCCTTTAAAGGACCCTAGTCAGCCTCCGCCATTTTCGATGCCATCGACATTATTGATATTGCATGTTGATGCGAAATTTTATTGTTTTACTGTAAGTTGTGTTCCTGAGAGTCTGTTTAATTACCTTTCGTAGTTTCACAGTGATTTCCTTCATTTCGACTTGCTCCAAATGAAATATAATAGCCAAACGCTCGCATGTTAACAAAAACAAAGGTGTGGCTGACTAGGGGCCTTTAACCCTGCCGCTTCACAGTCGACACTAGTAAAACAGTGACTTACTGAGCAAAGTTCGTCAATCTCTCGTGACCTCTTCTGTACTTCCAGGCCTAATTTTCCTATTCGGTCCCTTTCTTCGTCAAATCCACTCCGCTGTCGCTCAAATTCAAGTTTCTCTCTCCTTAGTCTCTCCTCTTCCTGTTTCAGTTGAGCCTCCCGCACACTCAGGGCAGCGGCGTCTTCTTTAATCTTCACCGCAGTCGCCCCCAGATCAGCCTCGGCCTAAACCAAGGGACAAAAATTTAAAAATGAAAGAAAAGATTGCATAAATTACAAGAACTGCGTCTGTAAAAACAAATGAAACAGCTTGAAAAGAGACTGAAACCTAGTTCAAGGTATCAAGTACACGCATGGGGATGATTCTTTGTGATTCTACGTAACAAGAGATTTCAAAATTAGGCTCACTGAGACGTTCAAAGTTCATCTAACGACTAGCTTTCATAGCCGCTGTCAAGCATAATTTCGAGTAAGCAGTAAACTGATTGAGGCCGAGTTTGTAATGAAGGAGACTAGCGTCCTCACTCAGCAATTTTCGGTTGCCTCAAGTAATCTGTTATCAGATTATTTTCCGCGCTCACGTTTACTCTTTGTCTGCTAAGTCGCGTGTAAAACTAACCACCAATGACAGAGGTTTCAACTCAAGTAAGTAAGTAAGAACTTTATTTAAGTGTCAATGTATTTAGCCCAGTTTAGCCCTGTTGATTAAGTTTTTAGTTCCAATTTTGCGGAGTTTGGAACATTCGAGGACGCCAAGAATCTAAGGGTAGAGAAATGGAATGGGACCACAAGCATACAAAATTGTCCACTTGACAATACATATCCAGAGTTAGAAAAACAAAAAGATTACTAACCTGCACACTCGTCTCAGTCTTCAGTTTCTCTCTACTTATCAGGTCTCTGTGAGCCGAGGAGAGCTGGGCACGCTCTGTGGCCAGTGACCGCCGCTCTTCTTGGATTTGAGTCATGGTGGTTCTTTGCTCTCGCACCAGGTCATCACGGGCGCGCTGTACCTAAAGGCAAGAAAACAGCCACGTTGGATGTCATCATCATCTTTCCTCATCGCGCCAGTAGGCGCGTAAGGCCGTCACGCTCTCAGCCAAACATATTGAATATGACAGGTCACCAATGGGTTTTGGAGCGGGTGTGATATCGACTCAGTGAATTATTGAGAATTTAGTATCATACGACCAAAGCCAACTGTGATCGCGCCAGTCCACTGTGGTTTTCATTTTGCTCGCGCTCTCAGGGTTGTTTTGTCCCGCTCGTGCGTTGATCCATACACTTTCACTTGAATCAAATGGAAACACCCACATAAAGAGGTAAAATTGTAATCTTATCTTCCCCGCCAAATAGTTTTATTTCGCCGACAAGCGTGATTAACCGTACATAGATACACGGGTTACAAAACAAAAGCATACTGAGGCTACAAAAACACTCCAGTTCGCAGGTTATAAACTATTCGACCTTTCTTGAAAACGAATTGTGTCTTGTGGCACACTGATCTTTACATACCAACACAGCCAACTGGAGAAGATTTTTTTATCTTTTAAAACTTGCTTTCCCAGTATTTAAGTCTTAAATTGACTCTTCGCACCGAACGCCAAACAGTTCTTTTATTGTTTGTTTTGAGAATTTGGTGGTACATCACTGAAGACACTTTGCCTTACCTATGACTTCCTTCATCTTGGTCACTTGTATACTTCAGTCAAAACGAAAATTGATTAAGATTATTTACCTCAGCTCTTTGTGAAGACAGCTGTTCCATTGTGATTCGTCGCTCGTCCTCCAGTGCTGCCTGAAGAGCCTTCAGTCGAGACTCCTCCTGAGACAAACGCCATCTCTCTTGATCAACCTGACGCGTCTGTTCACGCATGTGTAGTTCCATCTTGGAGACCAGGCCTGTAAGAGAGAAAAAGCGTGTATTTGGCTGGTAAGTGAACTTGTTATAAAAAATCTCAGTTATTCATAGTTTTTAGTTATTTACTACGAACAAGTAATGAAATTACTTACCTTGTAACCTGGTCCTTTCTTCGTCATTTTCAGATTGCTGCCTGTGCAACCTCTCCTGCAGTTGTTTCAAGTACTCGTCCCGGGCCCTGGCGGAGAGTTCGCGCTCATCAAGACCACTCTTATGAGTGACCTCGATCTTCTGACGTAAGTCGCTCACTTCACGAGTCGAGTTTAACACTTGATCCATGAGAGACTGGAGCGACTTGGTGTGAGCATGCGCACTGGTAGCCGCTGACACCTCTTGCTCTTTGAGCCTTCTCAGATGCGCGACCTCTTCTTCGTGCTCTGCGCGAAATTGCTCTAACGCTCGCCGATGAAGGTCTTTTAGTGTTTCTATCTCGTTGTTTTTCGCTGTCTCTAGAGCTGAAAGTTTTCGGTTGTGAGATGTTTGTAAGTCAGCTTTTTCAGTCTCCAAGATTCTTAACTTTTCGCTATTTTGCTGGATGATTAGGTCGGTCTCGTCTTTCAGTCTTTGTTCGCGACGTTGATAAGAGTCTTCCAAAGTCTTCAAGTGAGATCTTGCGAATAATGAAAGGTAGAAAGAAAGTGAAGAATGATCATCGCAGTAAATTTTCCAATTTAAGCAATTGGAAAGAAGAAGCCTGAAAAAATCAGGAGTTCAACGGGATTCGAACCCGTGACCTCCGCGATACCGGTGCGATGCTCACCAACTGAGCTATGAAGCCACACATTGGTAGAGCATCGCACCGGTATCGCGGAGGTCACGGGTTCGAATCCCGTTGAAGTCCTGATTTTTTCAGGCT